AGGAAAGAATTGAAAATCGTTTGATGAGAACCTTAATCAAATGAATTAGTTGAAACACGCATTACCTGTGCCCAAACGCTGAATACCTTGACGGGCGATGTTATCTGGTGTATGGTTGGAGTGGAAGAAAGCTAGGGATGGTTGAATCATAAAATAGGATCAGTCCGTCAAGTAATTGACTACCTGACTAGTGTATTTAGGGATATGCAGACTACTCGGCTGAAGTGCGCTCAATTACCGTAACTACTAGTTGAAGACTTTGAGTGACAAGGCTCAGAATCGATCGCGATGAGGTAGAGGTATACACTTATTGTCTTCCTCTAGATCCAGAGTTTGAAAATGTTCTTTTTCTTTCCATGCCTAGTGTTTTCTACTACTACTGACATTATTCTACTCCTACTACCCTGGGATTTATCTTAATATTTTCGTCTTACTGAGCTAATATGTTCCGGTAATCTGAACAGATGCATATACGTGCTAGGTCCTGTATTCCGCATAGTTGACTGGCTGAATGCGAATATTAGGTATGCAATTTGCCCTTCATACGAAATACTATACTTCCTTGGGAGATTATCCCTGAAGTACTTGTAGTGTTCAAAAGTATATCATACATAATGGGAGGCAAAAATCGACTCGCACATCACCGTAGTGCTCTTCGGTTAGTAGGGGACATTTTTCCAATGAGCTAATGCGAGCGTCAAGGTGGAGATTGGGCTAATCACCCACTCTGTGTCATATATGGGTTGAAGGAAAAGTTTTGTTGAGATAAATGCGATATTACAAGGAAAAGAGAAATTCCCTCTTGTTCTGTGTCAAGATTATCTCTGAATAGAACCAATAGGTCTCGTTGGGGTGGCGGAGAGCGTGCCATAACCAGTGCGCAGGGGTTGACATCAAACTTGTTTGTGTGATGAAAATGAAGGGGGGATATCGTATGTGACGACTTATTTTCGAATTGATTTGATTACCTATTATTCATTTAGTGTTGGAGGCAGCAGGGCTACGGCCTGTACACCCTATATGCATGTGACGTATACTTGCGAGCGGAAGCTTCTATACCAATATGTACTTATGGAGAGTATAGACCTGTCTAAGCATTCTGTGACTACATGTGACGCATACTAGCGAGCACGGCCATTTATGCCTGTGTATATCACTGGAATGTACATATATCTCATATGTGCATTTCATATATACATATACAATATACTTAGGAGAGAGTTCCACATTCTATAACGGCGCATTGATTAATAGCTCATCAGCGCTTTTGGTTTGCATAAAAGTTTCTGCATATGGTAGGGAAGTGAAATTATTGTATTGTTTATCTATTCTGCCCGTGATAGACCGTAGTGAATCCATCTGTCGCACATGAATAAAAGTAGACCGCAACGAATGTCTGCTTGTATGCATAAAACAAACTACTGTGTCCATCTGCTTCATCAGTATAGTCAAATCGAAATATCCCTTTCCGTTCATTAGTTCTTTTCTTTAAACTTTTACATTTCTTTATATAAGTTCTTTTTTCACGGCGACAAGTCAATCTGGTTTCCTCGTTGTTGGAGTGAACTGTAAAGGACAAATGATACATTTCCACTTATAAGTTTAATTTGAACTTATCTGTATTCTTAGTGGAAAAAACTTTCTTTATGACTTCTAGTTAAGTTTAGTCTGAATTGTTCATAGCAATTGTATTCGAATTCAGAGTTTATTTATCTTAACACATAGATATTGGTACAAGAAGGCACCAAATACATATGCGCCACACAAATCTCATTTGATATGTGTGAGGGCTGTGATACTGCTCGGGTGCCCAAACCGAAGCAGGTGGTTTCTTAGGGGGTCACACTCGGGGCTTTCGACCTGAAGGTCTGATCCACAAGGCAGTGGAGCAACGTAAGGAGATGCAGTCCCATGGTAGCCGGTGACCGACGATTGGTTCATACGCCATTTGTTCCTTCAGAATGCTGGAGCCCATTTGCACCATTGGTTTGGAATCAGGGTTTTCCAACTCCCCTAGGTGGACTCTCTGTGTCCACCAACCCGGGTACAGCGCCGGACATTCGCTTTTCGTCTTCTCAATTTCGTAAATAACACCCCCGCCACGAGAAGGCAGTGAGTAGGACTTCCCTGGCAGTGGTTGTATGCACGTGGCCACTTGAGAGCATTTCGAGAGGGAGAGCGGACTCTCCCCACTCTTGGCCGTACCAAAGCATTTGGGGGCAAGACAACCAGTGTAGAAGCAGCGTCTGCAACATTGGGCCTCAACATACACAAAGGAATTAGTGGTGGAGAAGCACTGGGAGATGTGAAGTCTTTCACGTACCTGGACATTGTCGATGAACAAGAGAGATTCGATGCAAACGATAAGGCCAGGATTGGCAAAGAAAAGATAGTATTCCCACAGTTGACGAACATATGGAAAGCAAAGCAACTGTCAACAAATATCACAGTCAGAATCTTAAATGCAAACGTCAAGACAGTTCTATCATACGGAGCTGAAACGTGGAGAATTACTACAACCACCATCAAAAACGTACAAATATATCTAAACAATCGTTTACTCGATACTGAATGTGCGTTGGCAGGATACCGTCAGCAACATCCTACTGTGGGAGAGAAACCAGCTTCCAGCCGAGGAAGGAATTAGGAGAAAACGCTTAAAATGGATAGGACGCACATTGAATAAATCAAGTTGAATCACGAGGCAAGCCCTAACTTGGAATCTTGAAGATAAAAGAGGAAGAGCAAAGAAAACACTGCGTCGGGAATTGGAAGCAGATATGGAAAGAGAGGAATAGCAACTGGAAAGGATTGCACAGGACAGAGTTGAATGGAGAACGCTGGTGGGTGTACCATGATTCTGCAGGAGAGGTAACAGGTGTAAGTAACTCTTGTTACTTTCATGCCTTAATGTTTATCTTTTCGCTTCGCCATCACTGTAGGTCAAATTCGAGAGCGGTATTCACATCCTAATTTCAATGTTGTTTTAGCCGGTCAACATTAGGACTCTTAATTGATAGATGAGCATAGCATTAAAACCAATATTTAAGTTGTTTGTAGTTAGATTCAAGTTATTTAGTTGTTTGACCTTAAATTTCACTCAACTGACAACATAAAGATTATTATGGTTTATGAGACTAACAACGAAGTAGATATTAAGGTTCAGTTTAGAAGTTAGTTTATTCAAACAAAATCTCGTTTAAACAATCTCAATAAGCTATTTTAAATAATTGTCGTCAGTACATTTATACCAAACAGAAAACCATGCATTTACCATTAAAAAATTGTAAAAGAATGTGTGAGGACATTCTAAGGAATAAAGATATAGTACAAATTTCTCGCTTAATTCAATAAATAATAGAAATTCTTTCAAATCGCCACAACACTTATGTCTACAAAGGTTTCATAAAATAAATTGTTAATTCTAATAACTAAACTTTATGTGTTAATTTTAATAAATTATTTAAAAACTAAAAAAAATATTTTCTTAATTCAGTTTCATGGATAAACTTAAATTTGCTTTTAACGATTAATCTTTGCCCCCAAATGCCTTGGTACGGCCGAGAGTGGGGAGAGTCCGCTCTCCCTCTCGAAATGCTCTCAAGTGGCCACGTGCATACAACCACTGCCAGGGAAGTCCTACTCACTGCCTTCTCGTGGCGGGGGTGTTATTTACGAAATTGAGAAGACGAAAAGCGAATGTCCGGCGCTGTACCCGGGTTGGTGGACACAGAGAGTCCACCTAGGGGAGTTGGAAAACCCTGATTCCAAACCAATGGTGCAAATGGGCTCCAGCATTCTGAAGGAACAAATGGCGTATGAACCAATCGTCGGTCACCGGCTACCATGGGACTGCATCTCCTTACGTTGCTCCACTGCCTTGTGGATCAGACCTTCAGGTCGAAAGCCCCGAGTGTGACCCCCTAAGAAACCACCTGCTTCGGTTTGGGCACCCGAGCAGTATCACAGCCCTCACACATATCAAATGAGATTTGTGTGGCGCATATGTATTTGGTGCCTTCTTGTACCAATATCTGTGTCAAAATAAAAAAAAATCTATGAGATAGTATAATTGTTTTAAATTCACTTGGTATTGCTTTTCGAATCTTCCCATTGAGGTTTAAGACTGCAATTGATCAGTCTGTTATTGGCATATGTGCATACTGTGCGTATTGTCTTGATATAGCCTTAATTCACAAGCGTTATATACAAAGATGGATAGTGGTTAGCAATGGAATTCAGGACACACGTTCCGTCAGCTGGATGTACCTACACCTCAAAGTTGATATTCACTCTGGGACTAATTATCTAAGCAACCTTATTTAATAAAATATCTATAAATTTGGCAATAAATAACAGTTACATTTTTTCTAAAAAAAAAGAGAATAGATAATCTTATCACACATTTAATAATATATTTCTTTTGTTATATTCTAATGAGTTACTCTGAAGAAGTGACTTATATTAAGTCACTAAATGTCAGAAATACAATTTATCTACTCATTGGGATGTAACAAACAAAAAATAAGAATGCTTATTATTAACTTTCCACCTAATGTTCTATTTATTTGAAACGATCAAGTCCAATCTTGGCATTGATACCTATGATATAATTTAGTTACAAAAGTACACAACGTAATCAATAAACGAAAATGTTTTACAATGAAAACTATTTATTAATTATTATATCCTGATAAACATTTTTTATAATGAAAAAAAAGGAACACGTACAAGCATCACAAAAAAAAGAAAATAAAATGAACATACCACTAAAGCCGACAAAAACGAAGTGCGAGATACATAGATACATATAAACAAAATATCAGTTTGGTATAGAAAAATAATGTAGAAACAAAACAGGACAAGACAAGACAATCTATTCCGAGTGATCATCTACCAATAGAAACATATACATATAATCAGAATTACTTTTTGAAAAAAAAAGTTATTGTGTTAACACAGATACTATTTTGTGTAAACTTTAGAAAATGATTATGTAATCAAAGAAAATATGATTTAGTTAAAAATTCTTTAGTGGATGAACGAAGGAACAATGATATTCGGTCAAAATAATGTAAAAACCTGTTCAAAAAAAGAAGACAGAGAGAAAGGGAATAGAAAAAGGATATTTGAATGTGTTACTTTTAAAAAACAAAAAAATTTTTATACAGTGTCTAACGAATTTGGAAAAAAGGTGTATAAATACTTCACGTTTTTTTTAAACCTTTTAGTCAACAGTTTTCTTCCTCTTGATGAAATAATTTAGATAAGCACTTACTGTTATGTCTTTATAGCCGATTAATTATATCACATGATACGATCGTCAATTAGAGGCACTGACTGATACGGCCAAACCAATAATGAATAAACCTATAAGAGTAGCCTAGTCCTCCGAGATTATAGTTTCTCACTTAAAGCAGCCGGTTCAGTTCAGAACATCAAGATCAGCCTCCGCTATATGAATCATATATTTCGGACATACTGGGGTTTTTATATAAACAAATCAAACCACATCATACCATAAATAGAAAATAGAAAATATACAAGATCAGGCCAAAATGTGGCTGTGATTGTGAAAGACTGTAAATAATAAATTCGGAATATTTTAAGAATAGTAAATCGAATGATAATAATCGATATCTATATGATTTTTGATGATTAATTTTATCAAATGATCATTTTATTTTGAACTGTAAGTTAAAATCTTTATTTTTCTGTTTTGAGTTAGTGAACAAGCTTATTGAGAAACACTGAAGGAGTAGTGACTCTATGGTTAAGGTGTTCGGTTTTCATCCAGTAAATATCATGTTTGGACATTACAATCCACATAGTTCGGTTTGGGCAAGCATGTAGTATCATTAACCCTAACACTTAATGTGATTCTAAGCCAAATAACAGTAATTATTTGCATTTAGATATTTAACACAGAATATAACATTCAGTCTCGTGTACTGCTACGGGTATAAGGGCTGATATCACTTCTCGGCTACACACACCGTGGAATGGAATTTTTGAAGAACCTGAAAAGGAAGTCGGATTAATGTTGGTCTTAACGACCTGGGAGTGTGACCGCAGAGCCCAAGGGACAACTGCTTGAGGCCGGTCGCGCACGGCCTTTTTGTGGGGAGTTTTTAACGTGTTAGCTCCGTTCTTCAAAGGGACTTACCGCCAGAGACGGAAATCCATGAAGTAAGGTGAGGTGCGACATTTTTAGGGTCGACCTTTTTTAAGCCCGCCCTTCCTTGTGAGAAGGCAGCATCGCTGAGGATGCTGGTTGCCCGAGGGAAACACCTTACTGCTATCACACCTCTCTACAGCCGGAAGTAGGACTTCGCCCTCAGATCTTGCGTTGCTGCTTTTAGTCTTACCGTTCTCCAATCGACCCGCCTGTCATGGCAGAACATACAGGAACATATGTTCCAACCAATATACCTCGGCTGGGTCATCACGATAGGTAAGCCCGATCGTCACGTCAAGGTAGCAGCTACGGTCGAGAAACGTGTTACGTATGCCCAACCACTGACTGTCCCGACATGCGATATTTTATGGTGTAAGGGGATGTTGGGAGAAATCTAGGGGTGGCCAGACAAAAACATGGCACAAATCCATGAAGTCACTGGCAAGTGGACTGAGTCATGTTGGTAGGTGTAGACTACCTGGTTGAGGACTGCGAGATGATAGCAACCGATGGTTAGACCTGGAATGACATGGCTAAAAATCGTTTGAAATGGCGCAGGTGCATCAACTCTGTGTTCTCCCAAATTTTAATCTTCTGAATTGTTCGTATCATTTTTTTCTCTTTCCAAATTTATTTCGCTGGATTGTATTCCTTGAATAACATCTTCAAACCCCAATCTTTTCGATTACTGCTTATAGTTTTACTACCCCTACCAGTATGGGATTTGAATCGACGATTGTATCTGTGTGCTAATGTGGTATGGCAACTTGTACGTACGTACGGAGTTCTACGTTGTTACTGACTGATAACATTCAGTCGGTCAATCATAATCAATGTAGTATCTGCGACGAATACATACCAGTCTAAGTTTTTTACACATTGCATTAACATAACGTGAGATGAAATTGACAAGAAGAGTATGGACAGAGTCAAAAGAATAATACCATAAATTAAAAGATTAAGCATAGAGAATAAAATGTATAAATATTGAAACTGAAGAATTGAGAGAAAGCAGCCGTATCCGACATACAGAGTAGTACATAAGTACATCAGTTTAAGTTGCTACACAACATTAACCCAGAGAAATGCAATTATCAAAACAAATGTCGCGATGGTAGAAAATATTAGGGATAGAGAATATGGTTCTGGAAGAATGAATTTGTAAGATAAAAATATAAATATTTTAGAATAAAGAGTGAATGGATCTGGGCCGTCGAGATAGACTTTGAGTCATAGTAATGGACGTCTCGAACTATTATTTACCAGAATTGGGAAGATACCAACTAAATGAGTATCTACTTACTGATACGATTCATCTAACAGCCAATGACTTTATGGAATGAACCCATGTCTTGGATTGGCCGACCTTAACTTCTAACCAACTCGTACACCAGCAAATAACATGCATCGAGGTAGTTAGCGGTTGGTTATACGTAATAGTTGGGTGAAGATAAAATATGAATCTATTCAAACTTGATTATTATACGAAAAAAGTGGTGACACATTGTAGATACAAGTGAACATAAGTTATGTCAGTTTAATGAAAACCATTGTTGACAGTTATTTCAATTCAACATAATCAGGAACAATACAACATAAAGTTATTCTAAAATCATATCACACAATCAATGTATAGCAATAATAACATACCGTCTTTTAGTGGAAACTATTTGTCTGGAATTCTCACCAGAAGCTAATAAACGCAAGACTGGTAAATAGTCACAAGCCAATGTTTTTAAATGATCATGACAATTGGTACCGATTCCACAACGATTCAAATCATTGACACATTTTGACAATGAAAGACTTTTAAATAGACATTAAAGAACGGAAATAAATATTAACTTCAATGAAATCTACAATTTATGATATACAATTAGATTATGTTTATCAAGACAAAGTATAGTAAAAATAGTGTTGAACATGTTTTGGTATTTTTAACTAGAAAATTCGAAAACAGAATAGAATCTTTTATGAACACTCAATGAAATATATTGAAAACATGTATGATTTCTTGACCAAACGTTAAATCATCGAAAAGTGTAGGTTTCTGTGAATAGGATACTACTTTTTACAATCATACTGATACAATTGCTTCAATCGAAGCAGTAGTATAGCAACAGTTTAAACCTTCATCTTACAAAATTATATCCAGTCCAGTTTATCGACAATAATAATTATTATATAATAATTTGTTGTTTTCCGGCCTCACACAACCAACGGAAATGAACCCTTTGTTATCTACGTAACCAACGGTTTGATATTTTGAATCGTTTAATTTATCACGAAGAAAAAATTGGTAATTATGAAACTTTCTAACCTTTTACATTCTTTGGAAATACAATTCTAGTGTAGACATATTCACGCTTCATGAGATAAATTGACCGACAGTGATGTGATTTCGACGTGAATGAATTTAACTCTATAAATATGTACATATTTTTATATTATATAGTGAGCGACAACTAAGGGAACTAAGAGTACTGCATAACCGTTTAAACATCAGCATAGAGATTATCTTAACTTGGTATTGAGCTTCACTTCAGGTGGAACAGTCAATTATGCTACACGGATATCAAGGCAGCACAAGATGGAGTTATACTTCAAATTGCAACCCAGTAGTTTAAAGTTATGTACTCTAAACGTTGGAGCCACCACTGGGTGAGATATAACTCGAATTCAAAGTAACGGATTTATTAACTGCATTGGGAAATATTCTGTTTTATTGTAAATGACTCGATATTGCTATTCAGTATAATTCGACATAAAATGGTGTTTTTTCTTAATATACACAAACCGAAGACAATATATAGTTGAATGAAATTTCTTCTCACATCACTTACTTATACACACAGTTTGTTATTTTAACACTTTTCGTTTCACACCATATATCTCTTACACACTAATGTAAATAAATACTTTAACATGGCTAACGTTGGTTGGATGACTTATTCAGTATACAGTAAACCAGAGAACCATGTACCTATTTATATTCGATAATTTTGTTGTTTGATTATGTTTTCCTTGAAAAGGCTTGGACCAGATCGCCAGGCGAAACGTTGGATTTACTTAAAATTCATTCGCTGAGATTTTACAAATATATATTCTTCCTCTTTAATGACTCACATTAACTCGGCACCCAAATGTTGTGGAACTATTCGTTCAAATGTAGATGCAAGTTCTTATTTAATCCAGATCATAGTTTATAGTTGGAAAGTTGCATTTATCGTTCATTGTACGTTTTATTTATTGCTCTATACACATGAGACTATTCCGAGTACAGAAAATTCGAAAGAATAAACATTTTTAACAAACGTCCCACCAAAAACACTTACTGAAACATAAGTCATACTAGTAGGAAAGTTAACCAATAAACACCACACATCATATCACTGGATGGTTCAAGTACGTAAGCACGCAACTCTAGTCCCAATTTGCTATCAGTCGATCATTGAAGTAGAACAAAAAACTAGTAATAGACATTTATGATAGTGACAAGCTTTGCTCGGACTGCACGCGGATTCCGTCTCCTAAGCTATTCTGTAACCCCCAAGCTAGAACAAACAGCGACCTGAACACAAGATAGAAGACTCAAAGTATGCGAGAAGTAGTTTACTCCAAGGTCCAGTTTAATACAAAAAATACAGGGTTTTTATATTTTAAATGTCTTTGGGTTGCTAGAAGATTCTGGAAATGCTACTAAACACAGTAGCAGTGTAGCAGCCAACAAATCAGAGCCTCTGCATGTGTCGTTTCGCTTCCTTGATATTTTTGGCAAAATTTCCAAGTGAACGCTGATTAGATGAAACGCTTCTTAGTGTTTCCTGATGCTTGCTTGTCTTTTGCAAGGAATTTTCTGGGTCACCCTATGTAAAATGTGATCGATAGACGAACTCACCAATAATAAAGGGAAACGCCCACCACCACATTAACTCCCTTTGACCTTGTACTACTGTATCTCTTTATTGACCAATCACAGTTTGATGTTCATTGTAAAACAATATTTGCTTGTTGACTCATTTTTCCTATTCTCTGGCTTCTGTTCGGTATGTTATTTGTCTGTTTTTTCCCTGTATTAATAGACCGTCCAGTTTGTTTGTACACTAACGATGTTAATTTATGTTTTAGAAACAGATAAAGTTTATCTAGCCAAATAGCTTGCTTGTTCTGACTTTAGAACAACATATATAAGCGAACAGTATTGTTTTCGATTAGATCCTCATCAGGCTTTACTCTAATATACAGTAATATTTATATGCATATACGAAATTATTAAACCAATCAAGGTAGTTTATAAGTCAATGATAACAATGGAAAAGATTACATAATAAGTAAGATGTGAAAAGTACAAATTGATGGCCAACCCGAGACTCTGTATTCGACGGTCTAGAGAATAGCTCAGAATTAAACCTGTAGGAAATTGTTCCCTACACCCCAACACCCCCCCTTCAAAAAATAAAACCTCTTCTTCGGGTCTACTTGCAACTTTATAACTGGTTTCCTGAGGCGTTCAGACTTCCTTGGTATCCAGCGTCTACGAGTCTGTTGGGGTTCCTGTCATCGGAGTATCTGTAATTATATCTAGTGGAAGCCTCACTTGACTATCTACCCTGTCTAGAGTCCTTTTCTCTCTGTGTATTTGATTAATGTGTCTAATACACATTCCGAAAGTCCCACACACTTTGTATAAAACATTCCCCATCCTCTTCTCAATGACTCCCGGTTCGCAACGATTTTTCCCAATGTGTGATTTGACGAGCACTTTATCACCGATGTTAAAACTACGAATATTCTGATTTTGTCTGCGTCCATCCATTAGTTTAAGTGGTAACATGACGTCGAATATGGTTCAGATGCTTCTCCCGAACATCGCTTCAAACGGATAAAATCTTTTGAAGTGCCAACCGCCACATAACCAGCATGGGGATGATGGTTTGCTGCTGCCATTACGATAACCCTGAGTGCTGGAACCTTGTGAGACTTTTTTCTCGACTGCATTGACATGAAGGAACCGGTTGTCGTTCTCTACCTTCGTGGCATCATGCTTCAAGTTCACTAACCTTTGGCATTCGGTTGCTACTTCCTGCAGCGTTATGTTGGGGCAGTGTTCTAGCTTGCTTAGGATTCTTCGTTCGGATGTCAGCATCCTCGGGTGAATGCAGGCTACAGATAAATACTAAGCATTTAAGTTGGTCTTCAGTCATGGAAGACAATTTGAACCTCTCACATTCTCGATCCACAATTCCTGCATGCTTCACCCAGTCATCTCCTGGTTCTTTCGTTATTTTCAAGCACTGATAACGGATATTAAATAGAAATGATTGTTGATCTTTGCAACCTGGATGACTCTTCTAAAGTCAGAATACTTCTGAGAAAACTTGGGACTATGGAACATGAACGCTATAGCAACTTCTTTCTCCCAAAGAATCCACGAGACTTTATTTTTGATGAAACAGTTAAAACCCTGGTTCAAATCTTTGGAGAACAATCACCTCTATTTAATATCCGTTATCAGTGCTTGAAAATAACGAAAGAACCAGGAGATGACTGGGTGAAGCATGCAGGAATTGTGGATCGAGAATGTGAGAGGTTCAAATTGTCTTCCATGACTGAAGACCAACTTAAATGCTTAGTATTTATCTGTAGCCTGCATTCACCCGAGAATGCTGACATCCGAACGAGAATCCTAAGCAAGCTAGAACACTGCCCGAACATAACGCTGCAGGAAGTAGCAACCGAATGCCAAAGGTTAGTGAACTTGAAGCATGATGCCACGAAGGTAGAGAACGACAACCGGTTCCTTCATGTCAATGCAGTCGAGAAAAAAGTCTCACAAGGTTCCAGCACTCAGGGTTATCGAAATGGCAGCAGCAAACCATCATCCCCATGCTGGTTATGTGGCGGTTGGCACTTCAAAAGATTTTATCCGTTTGAAGCGATGTTCGGGAGAAGCATCTGAACCATATTCGACGTCATGTTACCACTTAAACTAATGGATGGACGCAGACAAAATCAGAATATTCGTAGTTTTAACATCGGTGATAAAGTGCTCGTCAAATCACACATTGGGAAAAATCGTTGCGAACCGGGAGTCATTGAGAAGAGGATGGGGAATGTTTTATACAAAGTGTGTGGGACTTTCGGAATGTGTATTAGACACATTAATCAAATACACAGAGAGAAAAGGACTCTAGACAGGGTAGATAGTCAAGTGAGGCTTCCACTAGATATAATTACAGATACTCCAATGACAGGAACCCCAACAGACACTCGTAGACGCTGGATACCAAGGAAGTCTGAACGCCTCAGGAAACCAGTTATAAAGTTGCAAGTAGACCCGAAGAAGAGGTTTTATTTTTTGAAGGGGGGGTGTTGGGGTGTAGGGAACAATTTCCTACAGGTTTAATTCTGAGCTATTCTCTAGACCGTCGAATACAGAGTCTCGGGTTGGCCATCAATTTGTACTTTTCACATCTTACTTACTATGTAACCTTTTCCATTGTTATCATTGACTTATAAACTACCTCGATTGGTTTAATAATTTCGTATATGCATATAAATATTACTGTATATTAGAGTAAAGCCTGATGAGGATCTAATCGAAAACAATACTGTTCGCTTATATATGTTGTTCTAAAGTCAGAACAAGCAAGCTATTTGGCTAGATAAACTTTATCTGTTTCTAAAACATAAATTAACATCGTTAGTGTACAAACAAACTGGACGGTCTATTAATACAGGGAAAAAACAGACAAATAACATACCGAACAGAAGCCAGAGAATAGGAAAAATGAGTCAACAAGCAAATATTGTTTTACAATGAACATCAAACTGTGATTGGTCAATAAAGAGATACAGTAGTACAAGGTCAAAGGGAGTTAATGTGGTGGTGGGCGTTTCCCTTTATTATTGGTGAGTTCGTCTATCGATCACATTTTACATAGGGTGACCCAGAAAATTCCTTGCAAAAGACAAGCAAGCATCAGGAAACACTAAGAAGCGTTTCATCTAATCAGCGTTCACTTGGAAATTTTGCCAAAAATATCAAGGAAGCGAAACGACACATGCAGAGGCTCTGATTTGTTGGCTGCTACACTGCTACTGTGTTTAGTAGCATTTCCAGAATCTTCTAGCAACCCAAAGACATTTAAAATATAAAAACCCTGTATTTTTTGTATTAAACTGGACCTTGGAGTAAACTACTTCTCGCATACTTTGAGTCTTCTATCTTGTGTTCAGGTCGCTGTTTGTTCTAGCTTGGGGGTTACAGAATACCTTAGGAGACGAATATAGCGTTCAATCCACAAGAGTGATCTGTTATTTAAATCAACACGATTCTAATGCCTAGTAAACTATGTCTATCAATCTTTTAAGTAACAAATGGTCATAACGAAAATGGAAATAATGACAGATTTATAATCAGAGGAGGTTTTATGGAGACTGTGTTAATTTCAACAGTTGAGATCATGAGTCAGTTGAAGCTAGACCACCATGGAAAACTTGGAAGCAGTGACCAGTGGAGTTCAACTGGGTCAGTTGTGAGATAGTAACTCACTGATGATAATGATGGATGTGTCGCTCAACTTCGTGGATTAGTTGAAGTTAGACATTAACACCGTTGGATGCCGGCTCAGTGATCTAGTTGGTTAAGCGCCTGGAGTGAGAATGACAGGTCCTGGGTTCGAGTCTCGCGAGGGGTCATGGATGTGCACTGCTGAGGAGTCCCCACAATAGGACGGAACGGCCTTGCAGTGCTTCCAGGTTTTCCATGGTGGTCTAGCTTCAATTGATTCATGATCTCAACTGTTGACATATTTACAATATTAAAATAAGTAGAAAATAAAATTTCTGACGTTTTATAGCTCAATGTAAGCCAGTTCTTTATCGTAACTAAGTTATAAAATGCAGTGTTTGGGAAAGAAAAATGTAACTGAACACAACTTACAAATCGCATGATTTTAAAAGCGTGTATGTTTTTACAGAACCATTTGAATAAGAATAACTGCTAGTAGTTAGTTTACTCTCAGCCTCTTCCAGATTAGTTCGACATTGATTTAACAGGATTTGTATCCAAAATACATTAAAGAATTCATCATTAATAATATCAAATGCACAAATCGGTCCCCAGTGCTGAGTAGGTACATTTATAGCACGTTTTGTAGACATTGTATACAAAGAGCTTTCTGAAGTTACGTTGACAGATGGATTTGTATTGGATGGTGAGTTGTTGCTAACATTATTATTTGAATCAGATTTTATCTCAATTATCTGGCTTATTGAGTCAGTAACTGACAATAAGGATGCTCGGGTTACACCCGACTGACATATATCCCAAAAGGAAAGGTTATCACTCATCTCTTTTAAAAAGTCTAGACTGAAATCGATTAGTAGCGAGTTTCTTCGGTTGTTTTCCATGCTGTCTTGACAGTTTGTCTCAATAACATTTTCTTTGACAGTTTCAATAGTCTAATATAAATAGGGACAAAAAGATAGAAAAATAAATATAAACACTCTTTTACAACTGCTTCAAGAAAATAATAAATGTGTAAATTTACTGGTAGAAGCAATATTTACAATGCAACAAAATATAAGTATTGACCTCCGCTGTGGGTGTGTTGAATATATTGAGGATGTTGGAAAAAGTTAGTGTTACACATATGGGATCCCCAGATATTGTTACTTAATTTTCTGATATTTGGTAATGAATAGAGTTTCCAAGGCCGATCAGTATTAAAATATTTTGTGTAGCTAGCCAAGGAAACCATGATGCAAGTATGAACATCAACACTGGAGAAGGGGGAAGAAGATACGACCAGCTGACAAATCGCAAGTAGGGAGAGCGCACGTCCTATATTCCAATACTAACCATAAAACAAATATACTAAAACTTGTGATATAACGATAAATGGAGGACTGCTATTAACACGATCTATCATTGTAAATGATTGCTCCATGTTCGTTGTATGACCTGTTCGTACTGAATGAGCTAAAATTGAGCCGTTAACAGTTTCAACTATACCTTTACTTAACAACACCGAGAGATATTCGCGAGCACGAAAATACAAATTTCTAGGACACCAGCCAATATAACTTGTCCCACAAGAGCAGTTGAATCGATAGATACAGAAAGAAATGAGCAGTTTCGGTAACTTATCTTCCAATATTGGAGTGACCATCAGACATGTAGAAAACATTAATTATAGTTTACTAGCAAGAAAGGTTCTTTGGATTTCTCTGTGGAACTTTAGTATTAGCGTTTCGCTAGATGCGTTGCCTCTAAATTGAAGGAGTATATACAGACATTTTGTTTGCAGTTAGATCCTCCTTATGCTCCCTTTTCATGGCTAAATGTTTGTATTTTGATGGCTGAAACCTATTCACATATGTTATCATTGTTATTGCTATTATGATTATCATAACTATTTCGATCATTATTATTAAAACACTTGCAAATCCTTTGAGAGATTTATTCAGCATCCACTCCCAATTACTAATTCGTACCTAAATTACATTATTCTATGCATTATCTGATTTCTGATTTGTAATTACATCATTTATCTCTCTCACCTCATGTTCCTCATATTTATTATGTTTATTAATCTCACAATTTCATTCAACCTATAAACCCATTGAAGTCAACACTCCAAATTAGTTATCCTAACATTAACCATTTTAGCGTATTTTGCAATCCTAAATTCAAATGCTTTAATTTTTAAACCACGTATTTTGCCTTAAACCTGGTCACCCTTTCGGAATTACTCATTTGAATACATAATTGTAAAATCTGAAGAGAATTTATTGAGAAGAATGTTCTTCATTTATAGATATGTATTTTACTATGGTGAGAATTTTTCAGTGATTAAAACAGATCAAACAAAAATTGTAACCACATTTACTGAATACCCAAAATCTTTTTTTGTCGATTATGTTAACAAAACTGTATGATATAACTTTTTCGATGATTATACACGACAAATAACCATAAATCATAAACTCATAAAAAGAAATGGTCTAACCATACTTACAGTAGTTTTATCAGCTACTTGGTCAGAAACATTTTCAGCATCTGTAGTGAATAGATTGCACAGATCATTTTCAATAACATGTTTAGAATTTACTGATGGTTTAGGATTGACAATATGTCCAGACAAATTGCAAAGGGAAGGAGAGATTTTCTGAACCAAATTTAAAGGATCGTCGATAAATTCATTTAAAATCAATGACTAAAACATAAACAGAATGTAGATATCGTTTTATAGAATGTTTAAAAAGTGCACCTTATTTATTTTTTTAAAAAGTATATGAAAGAAAAGTATGTTTTTAATGCCATTGAGTTCTCTAAGCTAAATAGTTTAGTTACGAAGCTTTTGTTATCATTCCGAACAAGACCAAGGTTTAGTCCACGTAGGAGTGAGATTCTTAGTTATTAAACGAGCTCTAGTTTGTGATTAGGTATTTTCGTGGGTTTCATTGTCTTCATTTGTGTTTATATTCAAGTTGGTCATCTTGTTCTCTTACCTTCTGAACATGTGGTTGATTAGCCTCTTTAATATTTATTATTATTTATTTATTTTATTTGAACACATAAATATTGGTACAAGAGGGCACCAAATCTATATGCGCCACACAAAACAATGAGAATTCGAAGAGGAAGAAAAGAAAGAACAATAACGAATAGATTATTATAAGGTGATGTAATAATAATAATAATAATAATAATAATAATAATAATAATAATAATAATAATAATAATAATAATAATAATAATAATAGTGGGGGAAACGGAAAGGTACAACCAGAAAGAATTCCTTCAGTTAAGGAAGATACAACCACTTTTTATGAAGAAAGTAAAAGAAGGTTACAGCAGGATCGCCACTGGCTTCTATTCTGAGCCATATCTGATAACGTCTCTAGCCACTGTGTAGCACCATCCCTAGGACCCCAGCCAGAGAGTCGTAAAGGACCAACACAAGCCAGTCCTTTGCAGCTGTCTTTCATGCCATGACACCATGTCATGCACTGACCACCTCTCCGCTTTTTCCAACCTATCCCAGAGTCGGCAAATAATGCACGACGTGGAATTCTCTGGGACGACATTCGGAGAACATATCTAAGCCACCGAAGTCGGTGTTTCAAGACGGTGACACCAATCGCATTATCGTCTCTGTGCCCGAACACACGATGCCGAACCTCTGTATTACTGACATGGTGTTGCCACTGGATATCAGCAATCCTACGGAGACAACGGTGATCGAACACAGAGAGTCGTCTAATATCCTCAACTCGAAGAGGCTAGGTTTCACAAGCATAGAGCAGAACTGCTCTCACCGATGCGTTGTAGATCCGACCTTTTACAGCCAGACTAACATCACGAAGGCGCCAAAGATGGCCCAGATTGGCATAAGCCGCTCTGGCTTTCACTATACGTGCATTGATCTCATCACTCACGCCACCAGAAGCATTTTTGCAGCAACCTAGATACACAAACTTCTCGACTACTTCTATCTGCTCACCATCCAGGGTGAGTACAGGATTATAGTTCTGCCAGTCTTGTAGAAGTACTTTGCACTTCGAAGGTGCAAAGCACATACCACACTTACGGATACTGATTGCCAACTGATTAAGTGCGGATCGCATGCCTTGAGCATTATCACACAGTAAGACAATATCACCCGCATACTCAAGGTCGAGAAGTCTTTCTCCAGGCAACAGATCCACACCACCATTACTTACATTCATCAGAGCTGTTTCCAGAATGTCGTCGATGGCAAAGTTGAAGAGGAATGGTGAGATTGTGCAACCCTGCCTAACCCCATTGCTCGAGTGGAACAATGGAGAGAGGTGGTTGTATGCCCTCACTCTGCCTGAGGTGTTTATATATAGGGCCTTTAGGATGTTAATAAACTTCTCAGGCACACCCTTCTTTAATAGACAATCCCAGAGAACAGTCCTGTCCAATGAATCGAAGGCAGCCCTGATGTCAAGAAACACTACGATTGTTGGCCTTTGATAAGTATGGCGGTGTTCTAACATTTGGCGGAAGGTGAAGATATGATCAATACATCCTCGACCGGAACGAAGACCAACCTACTCGTCGCGAGTCAATCTTTAATATGTTTACGTTAATCGAACCTATGTTGATATGGCTATTGACCAGAATGCCACGCTTCAAGAAATTCTTTACAGTTCTTAAAATTTCTTTCGTCCAGAATTTCGAAGTTTCTCAATTGAGTCGAATCAACATTTTATGCCTTGTTAAAGCATTGACAATCCATAAACTCAAGCCTGAACTTTGCGTGCAGAAACGATTCGTCCAGTATATTATCCTTCCTTGGCCCTATTTCCTTTTATTGGTATGTTTAAGGTTTTTTTCCTTTCGTCTTCACTTTGGTTTGATTATTATTGATTTTTTCCAAATTATTGTTCAATTATCAGTCTTTCAATATGATGGGGATCTTTAAACAGTTATTGTTTTGCAATTTTAAACTCTAATCAGTTATTATTATTACCCTATACAAGTTTGCTTGATTATTATTCAGTTTATTATTATGACTTCTGTGTTCGTCGTTTTTCTCCATATCTGTCAATTGAACTATTATCTGACCCATAAATTGAGTTTATATTTATAGTTGCCTATATACATTGATATCATTGATAATATACCGTGTTGATTTCTTGATAGTCTGTGTTCATGTATGAGCACGTAAAAAGAGAGTGTTCACTTTGTTTAATGTAGTGTTTATCGCAGTTCGTACAATTTATTTTGTAGATGATGTTGAATTTATTTTCTCTCTCTATTGTGTTTTATTGACTGAGGTAATTCTAAGACAAAATTTCTGGAAGTATGGGATTTAGATTAGTCAGTAATTAGTAAACAATTTGGATAAGGCTCAGTCTCTCACATCATTTGTAGGTGGTCAATTAACAACCTGGTCAGAGGACAACAGAACAAGATGGTCAACTTAAATACAAGAACAACTAAAAACAACGACACCTACGAGGACAACCAGTTACACACAGCAGCACCAGAACGAAATGATTTAAGTACAGAAAACCTTGCGGAATACATGTTAAAACAATACGTTACAATTATTAGTAGTTGAAAAATATATTTTACTGATTAAAGAAGAGGTAAGAAAACTGAGTGGAACAATAAGGATAATTATTTTTAAATATTATGAATTCCTGACATGGATTTTATTTAATTTCAAGTGACCTTAGTTTAAAATGCACAATTTATACTTCAGAATGATTTCGACGTTCTGGGTTTGATCCCATACCTTAAAGATTGGGAATCCAGGTGAAACAGTTACCTTATTCAATTATAAACAGATTATGCTTTCGTGCAACGAAAAAGAAATAATGACACTCATAGCAGTGAGGTAGAAATAATGGTAGTGTTTTGGGTAATGGCTTGTTCTATAATTAAAATCACCGATTTACCATAAGCCAATCTTGACATGATCAATGAAAACTTTGGTGGTACATGATAAGTTAGTATGTAAAAACGCTTATCTGTTGATAGAGATTTCGATGGTGGTACACTGTTCGAGTAAATCGACATATAAACTAATTGGAATCAAAGTTCCTTTTGAAGTATGTGTGACGACGGACCACCGGTGAACTCGAGGAAGCTGTAAGAGGCTCATAAAGAGCCGAAGACGTTCCATCCAATCACCTTTCGGAAGAATGTTCTAGAATTCCAACGTGTAGCTTCCCCATTGGATAATGCTAATAACCCCCTGTACGCGGATTGGAAGACTGTAATGATGATTTCGTTCTCACTAAAAACTATAAATACCTGACAATTTTGTACTATGTTTGACACTGTTTGGAATAATATTCCTTTCGTTAGTCTTCTGTCTTCTTATTGCGACTTGGAAGGGTTTGGTGTTCTAGTGCTCAGTTATACGCGGTAGTATCCAGAAAAATCAGCTTTTTCAAGTTATAACATCTGGCGACGGGTTATTGTACCAATATGTCATTTACCTTGGAACAATTTGAAGCCTTATTGGAACGCCAAGAAAGTTCCAGACGCGCATGTTAGAGATGCTAACTCAGAAAATGAACCTGGATCAAAAAGAAGTTACAGATGATCCCTTCAAATCTCATGTTGACCAGATTGTTAATTCTATCCATGAATTTAATTTTGATGGTTCAGCTGGCATTACTTTTGAAACTTGGTTCAAGAAATATGAAGATTTGTTCAAGGTCGACCTCAAAAAACTTGATGACGCCGCTAAGGTCAGAATACTCTTGCGAAAACTTGGAACTGTTGAACATGAACGTTACAGTAACTTTATCCTTCCAAAGAATCCAAGAGATTTTTCTTTTGATGCAACAATTGAAATTTTGTCGCAAATCTTTGCTGAACAGTCATCCTTGTTTAATATTCGTTATCAATGTCTCAAGATGACAAAAGCAGGCGATGATGACTGGGTGAAACATGCGGGTTTAGTAAACCGTGAATGTGAGCGTTTCAAACTATCAGCAATGACAGAAGACCAGTTTAAGTGTCTCGTATTTGTGTGCAGCCTCCAATCTCCCGAAGATGCCGATATTAGAACTAGAATTTTGAGTAAAATTGAACAATGTCCGAATATGACACTACAAGAAGTAACCGCAGAGTGCCAGAGATTGGTGAACCTAAAGCATGACACTTCGATGGTCGAAAATAATGGCCAGTTGCCATACGTTTGTGCTGTAAGCAGAAAGAACGATTCTTGCTCAAGAAAGGCATCGCACACAGATAATCAGCCTTCATCTCCATGTTGGTCTTGTGGTGGTTGGCATTATAAAAGGTTCTGTCCATATAAAGAACATTGTTGTAGCAAGTGTCATCGCAAGGGTCATAAAGAAAACTGCTGCAGAAAAAGAACCCATAAACGACATTCTTTGAAACCCTACTCGAAGAAATACAGATTTAGTGCTCGGACTAACAAAATATTGGTATCACATAATCGAGCACGAATTTGCCGCCAAAGAAAGTATGTAAACTTGGATATAAATAAAAAGCGTGCCCGCCTGCAACTCGACACCGCTTCTGACATCACACTTATTAGTCGGAGAACTTGGAGTCTTATCGGTAAACCACAGGTGCTCCCAACAACCCAGTTAGCTCACAGCGCATCTGGAGGAAAACTAAATATTGTTGGAGAGGTTTGTTGTACAGTCTCGAAGGGAAATGCGAAAACGAATGCAACTTTATATCTTACACAGAATC